TTAGTTATAATGCAATTGGTCTACGCTGCTGGGGGCGTCCCATGATGCAGCGAGTGTTTCTTCATTTACCTTTTTCACTCACTATGTGTTTATACATCACTCTAAGTTTATCCTTAGTTATTATTAATCTCTGGCTCTCTTCGACCACCTGTCTTTGTCCTGTATTCCTACCCTAACCCCCAACTGGTTTCAGCAGATGGCCATTCCTCCCTGAGCTTGGTTCTGCTGGAAGTTGCTTCCTGTTAGAAGGGAGTTTTTCCTTTCCACTGTCAACAAAGCAATTGATCATAAGGGTTCATATGATTGTTGGGTAGGTTCTACCTTACAATGTAAAGAATCTCGAGGTGACTGTTCAAATTGCTATATCTGCTCATTCACAGCTGTCCACTATCAGTTCCTGTCCCCTTCGAGGTCTTAGGCATGATTAGACAATGGCCACCAGCCACATTGGCCAGCCTCCCTTAAGCACTTCTCCCTGAACCCACTGCGGTAGAGCCACTACAGCAGGGCAAGAGCCGAACAGAGAGTGAATCGGCATCCCAGGAGGTAATAGCAAAGAGAGTTGACCGCCCACCTGATTGCCAGACAGTCTTTTTCTACTGTATTGTACCTGAATTTTTAATAAATAATAACCAGCTAGCCCCAAGAACCTCACCTCCTTTTTGGTCTTGGGACATGGGTAGGATGCAATAGCTGCTGTTTCGTCTGTCTGGGGGTACAGCTGCACCGTATGCAGACGCAGGATTAGGACTCTCTCTGTGCATTTCAGGCATCTTTGTGGAATAAAACTCTGATTTCTTTCAGAATTTTATTCAGATGCTGGTCCGAATAGACTTCACCGTAACTCATACAGCTCCTTTATAGTACAAGACATGAACAATGTGCCCTGGTCAGTCAGTATTTCTTTGGGGATGCTGAATGACCTGAAACAGCACCTGCATGACACTCTTTGCAAAAATATTTTTCAGCAGCACTGGTTCGAGATAGCACATTGCATAATCCACCAGAACTAATACAAAGTGATATCCTTGTGCACTCTGGTGAAATGGCCCAATGAGGTTCATGCCAAACAGGACCTCCATCAGCAGGTTATAACGAGCCGATTGCACCGGCCACAACAGACTCAGCATTATTCAACAGCTATTAAAATACCCAAGCAACCACAGAAAATAGGAGAAGCTCTGACCCTTTCTGTAGAGTGCAGTGGTGTTTTTAGACCAGTACAGTTTATTGTCAGTATGTACTGTCAGGTATTTATAGCCCTCCACAATGTCCACATTGAGCCCCTAGATTGAAAGTCACTGGTTGTCTGGTCCAAAATCAAAGTGCACAATCAATTCCTTGGTCTTTGTCACGTTGAGTTGCAGATGATTCTGCTTGCACCACTTGACAAAGGAGTCCACCACAGCCCAGTACCCTATCTGATAACCCTTACTGATGCATCCAACCACCACACAGTCATAAGAAAATTTCTGAAGCTGGCAGGTCTCTGTAGCCGAGTGGCTGAAGTCCATGATGTAGAGCAGGGGCCTCGAACTCCAGGCCTTGAGGGCCGGTGTCCTGTTGGCTTTAGATCTCACCCTGGGTCAACGCACCTGAATCAAATGATTAGTTCATTACCAGGCCTCTGGAGAACTTCAAGACATGTTGAGGAGGTAATTTAGCCATTTAGATCAGCTGTGTTGGATCAAGGACACATCTAAACCCTGAAGGACACTGGCCCTCTAGGCCTGGAGTTCGAGGCCCATGGTGTAGAGGGTGAATAAGAAAGGGGAAAAGACGTCCTTTGTGGTCCCTTGGTATTTCTGATCACCTTGTCAGAGACACAATGCTGAAGACGCATATATTGTGGTGTTCCTTGTCAGGTAATCAATAATCCAGGACACTAGACAGGCATCCATCTCATCGCTGTCAGCTTATCACCCAGGAGGGTCCGCCTTATGGCATTAAATGCACTGGAAGTTGAAAAACATTACCCTCACAGTGCTCACTGGCCTATCCAGAATGGCATAGAAGTGACTGAGCAGGTAGATGATGGCGTTCTCAACTCTGAGGTGGCACTGGTAAGCGAACTGATGATCCTGATGTGAGGATAAGAGCTGATTGAGGATAAGGCTTTCCAGGGTCTTCATGACGTGGGAAGTCAGCGCCAGAGGTCTGTAATCCTGGTGGCCACTGGGATGGGTGTCTTTAGTACAGGAATGAGGGCATGATGTGTTCACAGCACTGGGACCCTCTGCAATCACAGGCTCATCGTGAAGAGTTTATCAAAGATTCCACAAAGCTGAGCGCACAGGGCTTTAGGATGCAGGGATTCATCACGTCTGGTCCAGCAGACTTGCCTGAGTGGAGTCTTCTCAGTTTTCTCTGAACCTGGTTGTGAGTGAAAGTGACAGGTGGGGGGTGGGGCGTCAAGGACTTTCACAGGAGGCTATGGTGTAAAGTGGAGAGAAAGTGAGAGAGAGTGGCATTGGCTCTGTCTTCACCACACTCTGCCCCTCTGCTATTGAATGGCCTGAATCCAGTGACTTCCACCCATTCCACTTCCAACCATGCCCCCGGATGAACCAGGGTTTGGTGAACCTGGATCTGCATACATTTTGAGTCCAGCATAGCCTAAAATTTACCCCATTGGCACCATACCAGAGTACTGTGCTTCTCTACTGGACCAGGGGAACGTGTCGGAGGGCCAGCATCACAGAACACCTGTCACAGCTCCATGAGAGGGCATTCTCTTCGACCAATAGGAAAGGCTGGGGGAGGGAGGCTGTTTTTGCTCACAGGCGGAGAGTGCTTTCCTTTCCTTTGCTGTTTCTTCTTCCAGTAAATATAATCAACAATAGTATTCAGGAAGAAAACCAAACATTGCAGATATTTTTATCATAACTCTGGTTTTACGTGGCCGCTCAACACAATTTAAAAATTGGTATAAAGTCCACACTTTGTCCGTCAGTTGTTCCGTCTGTCCTGCTCACATCTCCAATGGTTGTACACGTTGTCACTAACGTGGCTTCACTCCACATCAGCCTGTTTGCTAAAACACCAGTGTCGGCACATAAGGACGCTGTCATAGCCTGTCAACGACGTGGATATACGAATGTGAATCGCATTATTGGCTGGACTATGGGATAAGGTGGCATCGTTCTAATCCTATACAGGAGCAGCCAGTCACTGACTAACACTGCAAAACAGAATTGTTAAAGTATTAATTTTAATTTCAATTCAGGTTAGATTTTTTTTTTTTTTTTTTTTTTGTGCGCAACGCAGATTTTCTGTGCGCATAATGCGCACGCGCACAGCTTAGAGGGAACATTACCTGTGGCCAATGGAAGTGATTGGAATTACTTAAATTCAGTCTTTTAGATGGGTGATTTTTTTTTGTCCATCTGTGAACAAGTTCCAGTGCAATTGCTTTGCTTAGATCACTCAAAGACTTTTGACCATTTGTACTACTCTGCAGGTTCACTATGGACCTAAAACGTGTGCAGGTAACAAACTTCAGCTTCTGCATCAAACTGAGCCATTGAATATTCATGTTGATAATCATGGCCACCAACAAGAGCTGTGTCTCCACTACAACCCAGTAATAATCAGGAGTTTTAGTGTTAAAGTTTACAGGTTCATAGCATATCTTACACCTATTCTCGGATTCCTTCACTGACTTCCAGTGAGATAAAGCTCTACAGTGATAGGCCCCTGCTTAAGCAGCAGAACGTCTGAGACCTTCACTGCAGCCAGCCTCTCTGATCCTCTAACCAGGGCTTTTCTTACTGTCCCTCACTCTAATTTTACAATCAGAGGAGATCAGTTACCAGCTTGCCTGACTCTGTTATTTGTTTAAAATGACTGCTGAAACCCAATTTTCAGCAGTCCTTAACCTTTCCTTAATCTTTTCCCTTTTATTTTTGGTCATAGTTTGCAACTGTATGCGTGTTTGAACATGTTTACTTAACTTCTGTATGTGGCTTTTTAAAAAACTGTGAAGTGCTTTTGTGTTTAAAAGTGCTATACAAATAAAGTTATTGTTGTTGTTGTTGTTGTTCTGTCATGGCAGAGTTCTGAAAGGCTGTGAAAAATGGAAAGCCCTGAGCAGAAACTACCTGCTCAGTGCTGTAGAGTGTGCTAGTGTTGCATTGCTTTTAAAGTATGCATATAAAAGTTATTACATTCCAGTTCTTATATGAAACTAAATAAAATCGCCATCTAATAGCCATCACCATCACTGTCTTCTGTGAAAAATTTCCATGTGACCTTTCCAATGTGTTTAGCAGTAAATGGAAATCATTGGTAATCACCTAAACGTATCTCTACATTCAGTTACACTTTCTGCCAAATAGACGTTGCATCAGATGATGTGCTATGCTCTCACTCATTTCCCCAAACCTAACAATCAAATGATGATGTGTATTTTACCTTTAGTGGCCAGGCATGTTTACATGCAGGATATCCTTATGAACCTTAAACATCATGTAGTACACATAGTGCATCGCCTGCTTGAACTGATTTGATGTTGGGCTACAGTCCTGGAGAAATGTAGAATGTAAAACGTAAAACCGTTCACCTTCTGAACCCTTTACCTCCTTTGTCAGTTGTTTATCTTATTTTCCAGATGTGTGTTTACAAGCCCTGATATGTTCCTGTTGTTTAAAGACTTATTTATAGGTATATATTTTTAACTCTTCCATTGTTGGCAGGAAGTAAAAAGTGGAATCATATGTGAGGTCACTGGTAAAGTTTCTTTGTTAAAAATATGATGCATCCTGCAATTGGTTGGATTTTATAATGGTCAGATCAGGCAGTGTCCTCAGTTACTGAACCACCCGCATCCACCAACTCACGCTTCCTTAAATGTGTTCAACTCTGTGGCCTGAAAATGATACTTGTGATAAACATCACTTCAAAGTTCACACAGTAACATTTCATCCGTCTTGATTTCCTTTTAAGAGAAAAAGAGAAGCCAATGTTTACTGATCTAAACATTTATTCCATCTCCTCTATAGGCTAAAGAGAAGAGAGATGGCATATTGTCATCCAATGAGAACAGGTGTCGGCCACTATCATCAAGCGAGGTGGAGGGCGTATTGTGGCACGGCCCACGGACAATTTTTCTGCAGAAGAACCCACAGGGATTTGGCTTTACTCTGCGGCATTTTATTGTCTACCCACCAAAGTCCTTCCTCAATAACCTTAAGGTAAAATACTGCTTTCATTAGATGCACTTGAACTTTGAACTTTTCTTGTATTTGAAATCTGCATTACATTAACTCTCTGAGGTCTAAGCCATATTTTGAAAAATGGCAAAACTGACTTGTTATTAATAAAATGTGAATATATTTTGATGTATGTTAGAATTGTTATTAAAACCAACACTCCGTATTCCGATTGCCTAGGTATATTTAGGATTGGGGTTTCCTGACAGTAATTTGAGCTCACAGGGTCAATCGAATTTTGTTAAATACAACTTTGGTAACTTATGAGGTGTGGAACAACTATTGAACATTCTGGTAAGACTACCTATGTTATTCTAGCACATTTAGCAACTTCTCTTGCACTGATTGTTTTCTGGAATCAAAACTAAACTTAAAAAGTCTGAATCTGAATAACTCAACCCCATATACCTATATCATATATCATATTTGTTTTGGGATTTTTTTTTAGCTTATTAGGACTAGTGACATTCTCTTAGCTACTAACAGACATCATTAATATCATGTTAATGATGTCATTTGGTAAGTGGCAAAAGGGGAGTGAGTTGTCCTAAAATACTAAATCAGTGTTTATTATTATTATCATTATTATTAGTAGTAGTAGTAATTTATTTAGAACATTTTTTATTGTTTAGCCATTTTTGTGTGGTGTAGCAGCAGGGCTCAGTGTATTTACATAGGGCTTTAGGTGCCAAGGTCAAGAATCAAATAATTCAGCATAGTATCAAAAGCCCAACGTGGACCAATTAGACCACCAATCCAACTGACAGAAAGCAGCATGTTAATGTGTGAGTGTGTTTATGGGAAACTGAGGCAGAATGCCATGGAGGCAGAAAAGCAGCAGCCAGACCTGGAGCAGTGCCCTGTTGTCTTTCTTATCTTAACACCTGCCCTGTTTCTTTCACAGGATGAAGAGAATGGAAATGGAAATGAAAAAGGTAGGTGTTTGCTGTTTCTGCTAACTTAATCAACCCCCCATTTTTTTCCAAATGTTTACACATTTACAGGGGGTCGGATTTATATAATGAATCACATCAATATTACTTCTAAGTGTCTCAACATGTCCTTGGGCCCCTATTGTGTTATGTTTTGTAATGTGGTAAATGTACTGGATCTTATATAGCGCTTTAGTACTCTCCCAGAGCACTCAAAGCGCTTTATACAGCATGCCTCATTCACCCATTCATAGAAGTTGCAACATTGTATTTCTCTGCTTAAGTGCAACATTCACACACATGTGATCCATTAGAGAGCAACTAGGGGTTAATGTCTTGCCCAAGGATACTTGACATGCAGACTGGGGCAGCCAAGGATCAAATCACCAACCTTCCAATTATTAGGAGACCAGCTCCCCAAACAACAAACAATGAGGATACGGGTTTGTTTTGTTTGTTTTTACATTTACTTAGATCTGATATAACACTGGGCTTTAATGGTACTTTAACCAGGTTGCCAGAGGTCTTGGTTGGAGCCAATGGACACGATCTTCGTGAAGAGTGTGAAAGAAAATGGTCCTGCCCAACAAGCTGGACTGTGTACAGGTAGGATACATGCATCTTCACAACATGAATTACACACTTCATTCTGTGGTTAAAAATGTGAATTTTCCAGCTACCTAAAAACAGACGGTAACAGCTTTGGTTAGAGGCATTATGTTTTTGGATTGTCCAATCTAATAGAAATGTATTTTGCCAGAAATGCCGGAATCTCAGGTTAAAGCTCACAAAACTATTTCAACAACCACCAAGCAGCTAAAACAGCAAATGATTAAAGAGCAGGTAATGGATTTGGCAAAAACATGTAAACACAAAGCGCAACCCAACGGCACATACGCAGACATGCCGCTGGGACATCTCGCAGATTCTGAAGCTGCAGGTTTCATCACTCTCCGACCAAAATTCACTGAACCAGCAGCAGAAGAACATCGTCATCAGTCCATCACACTTCCTGTACAGCTCTCTCTCTGTTTATTTCAAGACTAGTTTACCATCAAAAATCTCTGTTTCCTCCATTAAGTGCTTGGTTATTACCCTCAAATTTCTGCTGTTCAAAGGATACTTGCTGTACGGAAGAAATTTGAGCTTTTACAAATTATACCTAATTATAAAACTCTTAGCTGTGTCTCTAATAAAACCTTTGTACCTTAGTTCTGCTTCACTTCAGCAGCATCAGGTAATGTTCATATGCACAATATACTGCAGAATATTTTTAAGGTTATTTGCTATAAAAAGACAGGGCAGGAAAATCTCCTTCATGTTTTTCTGTGTTTTATCGTCAGTTACTTTGAGACAAAGACCTCTGATGAAGTCTCAAGAGCATCAGCTTTGTTTTTTACATAGATATAAAATTATGGATATGTACTGATAAATAATCATAATTATAATATTTCTAACTGTTTGAGTCAAAATTGAAGTGAATTGAATCGAATTGGGACACTGTGAATTAGAATTCAATCAGTCAATCACATCAGTGACGATACCCAGCCCTAATTACAACATCTTAATACAGCCAGCCAAAATATGCGATAATAGCCCACCACTAGCTTTGACAATAGAATGAAGTACATGATCATTAGCCTATAAAACTATTCAGATCTATTCTCAGTAACGATCTGAATAGTTGTTTAGTCTTGGACCTATCTGTCTGGGGTCATACATGTCAACATGGATAAAATTTACTGGCATAGTCATAAATCTTATTAAAAGATTGTGGTATAATCTAAAACTGAATTATTATAATAACATATGACAATGTAATTTTATGACAGATTCACACCTATATGTGTATGTTATCATATCATGTATATGTTAATTTTGTATTTGGAACAATGTCAAGAACAGAAAGAAAGAGAACTACAGTGTCCAAAGATGTGCAGTCAGTGATATTAGGTCAATTCCTGAGTCTAAATTACAAATAGGTGTGAATGTGAATGGTTGTCATTCTTCCTATGTTAGCTCTGCAAATACTTGCAACCTGTCCAGGGTATACCCGCCTCTCACACTATGGCAGCTGGAATAGCCTGCAGTCCACTCATCAAACTGAATTGGATAAGTGAAAGAAATGGATGAATGGACAGATTGAAATTTCTTGTCTTTACCTGTCTTCGCAATATAGAGTAGTAAGACTTAAAAAAGTTTGTTCAGAGACTAATAACACACTATCAATGAATAAATGGGTTCAAAAGTTACCAAATTTGGGTGGCTGTAGCTCAGGAGGTAAAGCAGGTCATCTACTGAGTGGAAGGCTGGTGTTTCAGTCCCTGCCTGCTCCAGTCTGCATGCCACATATTTTTAAGTTGCTTTTTGATATATCCATCTCTGTCACGGTCGATAGCAGGGAGTCAAGCGCAGAGCAGGTTGACGTTTCCAAACACAGTTTATTTATAACACCAGTGCAGAATATATACAGTGAGGGGGGAAATCCAGGGTTCCAAAGGTCCAAGGGGAAGCTCTCTCACACTCGTTCTCGTCTTCACGCCCAAATCACACATGTTTGCACAGCAGGATGGTCACAAGTCCGGGGAGGAAAACTATCACACAGGAGAGGGAAATTACTCACAAGTCACAAAACACTTAAGCAAAGATTCACAGGAGCTGAGAGGATCACTAACGTGTCTCGCACAATCATCCAGCGACGAGAGGATGTGCGTCCCAGCCTCAAATAGTGGACAGGTAATGACAGCTAATCACGAACAGGTGTGTGGGCCAAGGGCGGGAGCCCGCAGTGAACTCCGCCCAGGCAGAGAGGAGAGAGAGGGAGAGGGAGAGAAAGAATACAAAACACATGTAGCCTTGCAGGGCCGGCTGGGCAGACACTGGGACCATGACAGTACTCCACCCCTCAACGGGAGCCTCCCGACGACCCACCAGGCTTACCTGGATGCCTGCGATGGAAGTCCCGAAGCATATCCTTATCCAGGATAGCCGCCCGAGGCACCCAGGAACGTTCCTCTAGCCGGTAGCCCTCCCAATCCACCAGGTACTGAAAACCTCTACCCCGGCGTCAGGAGTCCATGATGTGGATGATGTTGTAAACCAGCTGGCCATCCACAAGCCGGGGGTGGTGGCGGGGGCCTGTAAGGAGGGCACAACGGGCTGGAGGGCACAATGGGCTGGAGAGCACCGGCTTGACCTGGGACACATGAAAGACATTATGAATCCGCATGTTGCGCGGCAGTTTGAGACAGATGGACACAGGATTGACAATGGCGTCTATGGGAAAAGGACCAATAAACTGGGGTGACAGTTTCTTGGATTCGGTCCGTAATGGCACAAAACCAGTAGACAGCCATACCTGTTGTCCGATGGTCAGCGAGAGCCTTGTTCCGTTCTGCTGTGCAGAGTAGAGCGGCCCGAGTCGCATGCCAGGCACGGCAGCACCTACGGAGGTGAGCCTGCACAGAGGGAATGGTGTGCTCACCTTCGATCGCTGGCAGCAAAGGCAGCTGGTAACCCAGGGACGCTTCAAAAGGAGACTTGCCCGTGGCGGTAGAGATGTGGCTGTTGTGTGCGTATTCAATCCACGGAAGCTGTTCACTCCAGGTTGATTGGTTATGTGAGGTGACACAGCGGAGGGCAGCTTCAAGCTCCTGGTTGGCCCGCTCCAATTGTCCGTTACTCTGTGGATGGAATCCGGAAGAAAGACTGACCTTGGCCCCCAGTGCGGAGCAGAACTCCCTCCATACTCGGGATGTAAACTGCGGCCCTCTGTCCGAGATGACGTCCTCAGGGATCCCATGGAACCTGAACGCATGGGAGGTGAGGAGCCGAGCCGTCTCCAGGGTAATGGGGAGCTTCAGGAGGGCAACGAAGGGTGCAGCCTTAGAGAAATGGTCAACAATGGTAAGCATTGTGGTGTTACCTGCAGAGGTCGGCAGACCCGTGATGAAATCCAGAGAGATGTGCGACCATGGATGGGCCAGTGTGGGAAGAGGCTGAAGAAGACCCAGTGGAGGACGGCTGGAAAGTTTGTTCTGGGCACACGTTGAACAGGCTGATACATACTCCCGGGCATCCTTAGCCATGGTCGGCCACCAAAAGTAGCGTCGGAGGAAGGATATGGTGCGGAGGACCCCCGGATGGCACGAAAAACGGGTGGTGTGAGCCCACTGGATAATTTGAGGGCGGACGGCTAAAGGAACGAAGAGGCGGCCGGGCGGCCCGGTTCCCGGATCTGGTTCGGTTTCTTGCGTCTTCTGGATTATTGACTCGATCTCCCAAGAAACAGCTCCAATCACACAGGTGGCCGGGAGAACGGGTCCGGGGTCCGATTCCTCCCCCGTGACGGAGAACTGCCGGGACAGGGCGTCTGGCTTCACGTTTCGTGACCCTGGCCTGTAGGTGATGGTAAAGTCAAAATGAGTAAAGCACAGCGCCCACCTGGCTTGCCGGGAATTGAGACATCTGGACGAGTGAAGGTATTCCAGATTTTTGTGATCCGTCCATATGACGAACGGCTGCGCTGCTCCCTCCAACCAATGTCTCCACTCCTCCAGAGCAAGCTTGATGGCCAGGAGCTCTCGGTCCCTGATGTCATTGTTACATTCTGCGGGAGAAAGAGGGCAAGAATAGAAGGCACGGGGTGAAGCTTACCGTCCTCCTGTTGGGACAGGACTGCCCCCACCACGGAGTCCGATGCGTCCACTTCCACAACGAACTGCCATGTGAGGTCCGGTTGCCAGAGAATCGGTGCAGTGGTGAATCTCTCTTTGAGCAGGGTCAAGGCTTGCTGAGCGGCAGAATCCCACTGAAAAGGAACTTTTGGAGAGGTGAGTTTAGTGAGAGGGAGAGCGATTCTGTTGAAATCACGGATGAATTGTCTGTGGAAGTTTGCGAATCCCAAAAAGCGTTGCAGTTGCCGGCGATTTGGAGGTGTGGGCCACTCCACCACCGCTCGCACCTTCTCCGGGTCAATCCTTAAGTTCCCCCTCTTGATGATATAGCCCAGAAAAGCCACCGAGGTCACGTGGAACTCGCACTACTCCCCCTTCACAAAGAAACAGTTTTCCAAGAGGCGTTGCAGGACCTGCCTCACGTGAACTTGGTGATCCGTGAGTGTCTTAGAAAAGATCAGAATGTCATCCAAGTACACAAAAACACAGCAGTTAACAAAATCACGAAGCACATCATTAACCATTGCTTGAAACACAGGAGCATTGATCAGACCGAAAGGCATCACGAGATACTCAAAGGGGCCCAAGTGTGTATTGAATGCAGTCTTCCACTCATCCCCCTCCCTGATGCGCACCAGATGGTAAGCGTTGCGGAGGTCTAGTTTGGTAAAGACAGTCATGCCCTGAAGCAGCTCAAAAGCAGAGGAAAGCAACGGCAAAGGATACTTGTTCTTTACAGTGATCTGGTTAAGGCCCGATAGTCAATACATGGGCGCAGCGACTTATCCTTCTTGTCCACAAAAAAAATACCAGCCACAACAGGGGAAGAGGAAGGGCGAATCAACCCCGCTGCAAGCGACTCCGTGATGTAATGTTCCATAGCATCTCTCTCAGGCTGGGAGAGGCTGTACAGTCGGCTAGACAGCAACGGGACTCCGGGAAGGAGATCGAAAGCGCAATCGTACGGGCGGTGGGGGGGAAGGGACCGCGCACAATCTTTACAAAACACATCCTGCAAATCATGATAAACCCACGGAACCGCTGAGAGGTCTGGGGAGCCGAGCGGTGAGTTAGTGGGCGGAAGTGGGACGGGTGGAGTGGCTGCCCGGAGGCAGTTCATGTGACAATTCACACTCCATCCCATTATGTCACCTTTTTCCCAGTCAATGTGCGGGTTGTGGAGTACAAGCCAGGGGTGATCCAGCACGCTGTAAACGAAAAATAAACAAATCCTCTCCGTGTGATTGCACGAGAGGGAAAATGAAAGAGGTTCGGAAACATGTGTCGGAGTCGCGCAGCCCGCTGGCTGTTGTGGAGGTCCCATGAAAACTCAATGGCTCATGACCCGAGCGTGTGTGTGCACTTTGGTGTGCGCATACTCGGTCATCCACCCAAATACACAGGGTCATAAGAGCATCTAGGGAGGAAGGCAGTTCACGAAGCATCAGTTCATTTTTTATCCCATCATTAATATTAGCAAGTAATGCACTTTTAAGAGCCTCTTTCCCCCATTTCGTCTGCTCAGCCAAAGTAGAAAAATCAATAGAAAAATCGGCCATGCTCCGCTTACCTTGTTTGAGCGCGAGTAAGTGTTGGCCAGCGACGGCTGGATTCCCTGTCAAACACACTTTTAAACTTATCGAGAAAATCAGAAAAAGTGATTTCAGGGTTAACGTGAAGCACAGCTTGTGCCCAGGTCAGAGCACGATCCTGGAGCAACTGGACAATAAGCGATTTTCCATCATTAGAAAAGGCTTGCGGCTGCTGGCGAAACTGAAGGGCACATTGAGTGAGGAAACCAGCGCACTTATCAATCTCTCCAGTGAAAGTTCTCGGTGTAGGAAGAAATCTGTCAGATTGAACGGGTGTAGGAGCAGGTGATGTAGCACTTACTGCTGGAGCTGGCGCCTTCTGAGCGGCGGCGGGTGGAGTTGCCGGCAGAGGTGTTTGCTGGGCCACAGCCTGCGTGAGGTTTGTGAGCTCTGCCCGAATGTGAATAAACATTTGTTCATGTCGCTCCAGCATCGCTGCCAGTGTGGCAAGAGTGGGGGTCGAGGTTGCCGAATCTGCTGAGTCCATTTTCTTGACTGGATGATTCTGTCACGGTCGATAGCAGGGAGTCAAGCACAGAGCAGGTTGACGTTTCCAAACACAGTTTATTTATAACACCAGTGCAGAATATATACAGTGAGGGGGGAAATCCAGGGTTCCAAAGGTCCAAGGGGAAGCTCTCTCACACTCGTTCTCGTCTTCACGCCCAAACTCACACACGTTTGCACAGCAGGAAGGTCACAGGTCCGGGGAGGAAAACTATCACACAGGAGAGGGAAATTACTCACAAGTCATAAAACACTTAAGCAAAGATTCACAGGAGCTGAGAGGATCACTAACGTGTCTCGCACAATCATCCAGCGATGAGATGATGTGCGTCCCAGCCTCAAATAGTGGTTAGGTAATGACAGCTAATTGCGAACAGGTGTGTGGGCCAAGGGCGGGAGCCCGCAGTGAGCTCCGCCCACGCAGAGAGAGGGAGAGAGAGAATACAAAACACATATAGACATGCGGGGCCGGCAGGGCAGACACTGGGACTAGGGCTGGGTATCGTCACTGATTTCTAGAATCGATTCAATTCCGATTCACAAGGTCCCGAATCGATTCGATCCACGATTCGATTTAATTCGATTCGATTCGATTTAAATCTAGGAAATTTTGACAGTCAGAAATATTATAATTCAGATCAGTACATTTACATATTTTTGTATCAATAAAAAGGAAGCTGACACACGCAAGACTTTATCACAGGTGTAAGCGTCACAGCAGAGGCCTTTGTGTCAAAGTAGCTGAAGATAAAGCACAGAAAAACATGAAGGTGACTTTCCTGGCCTGGGATTTTATAAAAATATTCTGCAGTACATCAAAAACGAAAGAAAACCATTAATCAACATATGAACGTCACCTCTGACGTTACAGCGGTTTTATTAGAGACATGGCTAAGCGTTTTGCATTTTGAATAATTTTAAAAAGTTTAAATTTGTTCAGTATTGAACAGCAGAAATGAGGTTTTCTTTTCGGAAGAATGTAAAAGGGAAAAAAACAGCGGCCGACAGCGCTGTAAACAACAGTAGACTGGTGCGTAACAAGCAAGCGAATAATGAAGAAAGGGAAACTGTTCTTGAAGTACAGAGAGGGAGAGAGAGCTGTGCATCGCGGTGGAAGCAAAACAGTAAAAGTCGGAGTGAATTCATGACGATGTTTATGTGAAGCGTTTGGATCTTCTTTTGCTGCTGGTTCGGTCAATATTGTTTGGAGAGAGATCAAACTAACAGCTTCAGAATCAGCTCAAAAAGGGCGTGAACACAAAGCGCGGACCTGCCGACAGATCAGAATCAGCGAGCTGTCGGCTTTCAGCCCCGACCGTGAGAAAGGCGACATCTAACTGATTCTGATCCGCGGGTCGCGCTGTGTGTTTAAGTCTATGTGCAGAATCCGTGTACCTGCTCTCATTTCATTTACTGTCTTAACTGTTTGGTGGTTCTTGAAATTTTGTGAGATGTCACCAGAGATTCTGGCATTTCGGGCAAAATAAATTTATATTAAAAAATCGATTCAGGATTTTAATGAATCGATTTTACGTTATCCAAGCCAGAATCGATTTTAATCGATGAATCGATTATAAAAACCCACCCCTAACGGGGACCATGACAATCTCTGTGTGAAATATAGATAGAAAGCACTTAATCATAGAAATATAGTTTTTGTATGAATGGGTTAGTGAGGCATCTTGGATAGAGTGCTTTGAGTGCTCAGGTAGAAGGCAGCAAAGCGCTATATATAAGAACCAGTAGATTTACCTATTTGATGCAAATAAATGTAGTCTAAAGCTCTTTGAGTGGTTAGTAAGACTAGAGGAGTGCTATATACACACTACTAAGACATTTGCCAAGTGCCACTGTTCAACTGATTGCTAACGTAAAAACAACAACACAGCACATAGGCATGCAGTGATCCTCTCAGCTCCTGTGAATCTTTGCTTAAGTGTTTTATGACTTGTGAGTAATTTCCCTCTCCCAAGACCATTAGCTGAAATTTGAACGGCTGACAATCAGAAACTGTTCCCACACAACAACTAGAGAGTTTAATGCCAATGTTTGAAAAAAGTGGTGAATGGCTAGACTGGGTTGAGATGTTAGGACTGCAGTAACTCAAATAAACACTCGTTAAAACAAGGTATGCAAAAGAGCATCTCGAAATGCGCAAAACCTTGAAGCAGCAGCAGAAGACCACACTGTGCACCATTCCTGTCAGCTACAAACAGGGAGTTGATGCTTTGGCATGAGCTCACCATAATTGGACGACAGAAGATTGCAACAATGTTGCCTGATTTGAGAATTTTGCTTAAACAACATGAAAGCAACGATCTATCCTGCCTCATGTTAATGGTTCAGCCTGCTGGTGGTCTAATAGTGTGGGAGATATTTTCTGGGAACACTTTAGGTCCTTTAGTAACCCAACCACACACCCTGTGCATGCAACTTTTATTTTCCTTTCCTCTCTTAGTGTGTGTGCCTTTGTGTCTTCCAGGGGACAGACTGGTGAAGGTGAATGGGCAGAGCATTCTGGGGAAAACCTACTCTCAGGTTATAGCACTCATCCAAAACAGGTTGGAGATTTTTTTTTTACATCTCATTGATTACATCTAAATTCTTTATCAAGGATTAGACTCATTTTTATGGTATTATTTATTATTTTTTTGTAGTGAAAACATTCTGGAGCTCTCTATTATGCCAAAAGATGAGGATGTGTTGCAGTTGGTAAGTGTGAGTATAGTCTTTCTTTAATATTCTCTTCTTCTCTTCTTTTCCCTTGTGACTTGTGTAACCATCAGTGAGCTAGCCATCAGTGTAACAACAGGGGTTTAAATTTCTGCTTCAGTTCATTCAGAAACTGTTCAAATGTTTGTGCATGGACAGAAAGGACTTCATTATCAGCTGGCATGCACAGGTAACTGTGTAATTAATTAATTCTGTTAAAAGAGAAGGGGATGAGATAAAAATAGATCACCCAACAAAGAACCTGTTGAAAATGCTTTGAAGTTTTACAAGCTGGGTTCCAATGTTGGTTGTACGGTAAAGATTTACAGACAAAAAGCCAGAAAAAGTGCTGCATAGTGCATCCTGACTGACTTTGCCCACTCTGCCCTCTTGCTGTTCATCCTGTATTTCGATTTTACATTGTCTCCTCCCCCCTGCTGTCCTCAGGCATACTCCAAGGACGCCTACATGAAAGGCAATGAGCCATACTCAGGTAAAGCCCGAAACCTCCCAGAGCCACCACCTCCTTACTATCCGTCAAACAAGCCCAGCTCTACTTCCTCACAGACTAGCCGCAACATTTACAGCTCCCTTGACAACTGGCAGTGTCGAACCAGCCCTGTCACCCCACCATTAGACAACCGCCGCCCTGCTGCTTCTACTCCCCCCGAGTGTTGGTTTAGGAGTCCTGAGGATCCAAGCGTTCGATTTGCCCCATTGGGGGGACACCGCGGACGGTCCTCATCTGCCGTTACCGCACTGGACTTTCACTTTGTTAACCACAATGCAGCCATCGCTTCTGCAACTCTACCTCCACCTCGGAAAGCTCCTGCCCATGTTCATGTTGGCACCCTCTACCACCAGCAACTGTCAGACTATAGCCACATTCATGGCACAGAATGCATCTCACCCCAGTATCGCAGTATATCTCAGGATCATTTAGCTGAGCTGGGGTTGGGCTTAACAGTTACTCCCAAACCATCAGCTACTGCTGTGGCTTCTTTAGAGCAACGGAGAAGAGAAACCTTCCTGCATCACCAGGCAGCTGCTGCTGCCCACTATTCCTGTTGGTTCAGCAGCTGTGGTAGTTCATCAGGACCAGCAAAGAAGTCCTGTTCAGAGACCCTGCTGGCAGCCTATGCCGAATATGAGCACAACTACGGACGTTCTATGGAAACACTGGCCCAAGCCTCCGCTCTGGTCAGTCCACATTCTGAACAGACTTCACAAAGCTCCAACATGATAAAATTCAACATACAGAAAGACCTCAGAACCTCAGAACCTCAGCACCAAAGCACAGGAAAATCATCTATCACAACTGCTTCTACGGGGCCTCCCAGTGAGAGACAGTCAGGTCAGCAAGTAGCAGAGCCCCAGAAAAGGAGAGGAAGAGAGGAAGAGCAAGTGGGCTACAAAAGCTACAGCCCTACTTTTTCCCACAAAGCTGGTCATGTCTTTCAGCAAGCCCACTCCTTTAGAGAGCCTGGCTACAGCAGCCCTCACCTTGACTGGAGGCCTGCCACCAGAGACAGCCCTGCTGATACTGATGTAGGGTCCAAGTTCATTACCCCTCAGTCTGCATCAGAGGAGGAGATAATGGAGCTTGGGGAGCACCGAGAAGTCATCTCCCCTGTATCCGTGACTCAAGAGGTGGTCCTAAGGCAGAAGCTGCCTCCAGGTCGTCATACACCCATTCAGACTCTGCAACATTCGAACTACAACACACCTGTGGAGTCCACAGAGCTGCCTGGTTTGACACTCTGCACCTCTCCTGTTCCTGCAGAGACTATTCCCAACCGCAGGTCCAGCGGCAACCTGGCACAGAATGTATTTGATTCCTTATCCTCTATTCCCTTCATAGGTTAGTAACCTTTCCTCAAACTTGCATAGTTATACGGTGTCAGATTGTAACAAATTTAAAGGTTATAATGAATGCTTTTAAATTGGATATTTACAACAATGTTAAAAGTGCTATTTTATGTCATTATTCATTATTCTCAACATTTCTTGTCTAGTCTGCTGACAGATGGAGAGAAATAAAATATATCAAAGAGATCTTTAATATTTGATCCAAAACTAAAACTTGAGGGTTAGTTCACAAAACTTACAAAAAATGCCACTGAAGGCACAAATAATCTTTAAGATCCTGTCAGCTAGGCAAATAGCTCAGCAGCATTGTCTCAAAAGCACTGTGAGTGCCAGTCTTTTTACCATTTATCAAAATTATATCACAATATTTCAAGAAAAGTTGCAGTAAAAGTATTTTTGTCAATATAGTAATAAAAAACCAAAAAAACCAACAATGTTTCACTGACGTTTGCAGCATGGAGCACCAGGTCACATTTATATGTGTGAGTAAATGGTAAAATGGTAAATGGCCTGTATTTTTATAGCGCTTTTCTAGCCCCTAAGGACCCCAAAGCGCTTTACACACCCGGTCATCCACACATTCACACACTGGTGATGGCAGCTACATTGTAGCCACAGCCACCCTGGGGCGCACTGACAGAGGCGAGGCTGCCGGACACTGGCGCCACCGGGCCCTCTGACCACCACCAGTAGGCAACGGTGAAGCGTCTTGCCCAAGGACACAAAGACCGAGAATGTCCAAGCCGGGGCTCGAACCGGCAACCTTCCGATTACAAGACGAACTCCCAACTCTTGAGCCACGATAAATAAATACAGGGCATTTTTTCCACCCTTTTTTATTGAGTTACACACTGCCTAATCTATTTAACCATGGTGTCAGCAGCAGCAGTATTACACCTAGTGGCAAGGCATAAATCAAATGTAGGCCTAAAAATTATTTAGGTAGGTTTTTGTTTGTTTGTTTGGTTGGTTGGTTGGTTGTTCCCCCTGAAAAACGAAGTAAAAATATAAAATAACTGCTTTACAGTTAAATTCAACAATAAGTGAAGTAACTTAACCTCTTACCTTTTCAGGCTTTACAGGAGCCACAATATTGTCACATAATTGTCACAAAATTGAAACTGAAAAATGGTTTTTGTGATGTTAAATCATGGTCGAGCTTTTAACCAGCTGCCTAAAGCCCATCAGCATCAGTAGCTTTCATCCATCATCTGCTCTTCCTATCATATGGAGTGCAACTAGCAAACACAAGAGTCGTGTTTACATTTAGGTTGCACATCACCAGCTGCTAGTATCTCCTCTTTCGGGGTCTAGTTTTACTCAACACTGTTTTTGTTTTACAACAATCCTCGATTCCACAGGTATCGTAGGACAACAGCAATGATATCACAATATCACATTTTTAAATGTGATATTTAAATAAATAATTTAGATTGTGTGAAGTCATTCTTCCGTGGATCTTGCCACGCTCCTGTGCATTATACCTGGCTCTGAAGATTGCGTAGCCCTCCGGTGCTGTTGGCTCGTCTGGCTTCACAAGTTTGAAAAAACAAAGCGCTGACCAGTCCTGAATGCACTGCTGCATAGATGCGCTGTATCAGAGGTGCCGAATCATAACAGATGGTAACTTTGGCTGAAACAAGAAGACACAAAAAAACAACAGCTAAAAAGTAGGTCTCACTCTAAGCAATCTATGACGTTTGCAACAGACCACCATGTTAATTCAAAAAGGCCTCGCTCGCCTCAGTTAAGGTCGTGTTCATGACTCAACAATAAGAATAAAAAAAAAAAGAAATAGCTTCCATGGGTGATTTTCCAGTTTTCCTACCTTATAGCCTACACAAAAAAATTGCCTGACCATAAACCATCTTAAACTGAACATACCTAATAATGAGGCTGAATTTGAACATTGTTTGCGAATTTGAACATTGTTTGCTGCTTAACTCAAATATATATATATATATATATATATA